GCACAGGTCTCCCGAGCAACGTACCAAATTATATATTCTGCCTCCCACAATGATGAATGGTCACTGCAAAAATATTTGTTTAACATAGAACTGTGTAACACGATGTTAGAAAGCTGAGCAACCCTCCACCCACCTCTGAAATGATACCAGTTCTCAGTGGGAGCCACTGGTAACAGTTTGGGCTAAAACCCCACAAAATTTTCCTACATATCTACTGACAGCACAATACTACATGTACTGTTCAGCAACTTGCTTTAGTACTTCAGAAATTTTTGACATCTTTCCTCGTGTTTGATTTTGATCAAATGAATATTTCAATTACAATGAAACTGTTTTTCTTTTTTGTTCCGAGTCCTTTTGTAACACTGATGCTTTAAGACAGGGACCATGGTGCTTTGTGTCAAATACCCTGGCTCGGAAATCATTCTTTCTAACATTGACTTGACCTTGTCTGAGTAGGAGATTCCTGGGCTTGAGACACAAGAGGGTCATGGCATCTATTTGGGGGTCTTAGGGAGTCTATCCAAAAAGCAGAGTTGGGTAGAAATATTGGAATTTGGACAGTACTTGCACTTGCAGAAGTAGGCAAAGCAGCATCCTTTAATTAATTTATAACCAAAAATGTGCATCTTCTGCATTCTGTTTGGCAACTTGCTTTTGCACTTAGCAATTTATTTTGGGCACCATTCCTTGCATCGGAGTTAAAGTAAAAATATTTTAATTACCTGTAGGGGCTGATCTGAGAGTAGAGGCAGGTAGTAACAAGGAATGGGCTAGACCTCAGGTTCATGCTATTTAACACTAGAACCTCTCCCGTCTCCCTTATTCAAAAGTAGAAGCATGTGAGTAACTGTTTTACAACTGTCTTTATGCCATTTAAAAGTACCTTGTTCTTTGGAGGTTTTAACAAATGATTATAGGGGAAGTGCAGCCAAAGAATTAAGGACTGTTTTCCTAAGACTGAGGTCCCTCTGCTTTAATACCCTGCCCTATGTCTATAGAAACAGGTGGGCACCGTCTAGAAAAAGCCCTTGTATGTGAGTCAGGCAAACACCCTTTATCATTGGTTTGATGTATTTCCTTAATAGAAAATGCTGGTGAGTAGAAAAGTATTTGGGGACTGATGGGATGGGGGGGGGGCAGAAATTACAGTGTACCAAAGGGAGAAGAGAGGTGGGAATGGGAACATTCAGGTGGAGTATGAGATTGTTTGTTTTAAATCTGCCTTTTATCTTGGGCAAAAATGTTCCTAACGTAGTGCCAAGGCCAGCTGGCTCTTTCCAAGTCCATGTCCGAGGCTTTATAGTAAATACATGTTTGCTCAGGTTTCCCAGCTAACGTTTTACAGGACATAAAGAGGAGGCTGAAATTGGGAAGCCAGGTCAAGTCGTGTTCTTCCAGTTCCTCAACATGTAGTAACAGAGACTGGAATTCAAAATCCCCGATGTTAATCTTTGGCACTGCTCTCGAAGCTCCTGCTCAGATTTGTGTTATAGTCAGGGAGGGTGGCCAGTGAAGGACTCAGGCTGCATGGTGGGCCCCTGCTTAAAGGAAAATCTCTGCTCAATGTCGTCCCTCCACACCCACTGCCTGCTAGACACCCTGACGCACAGCAAGAGGCAGACCCCCTTGCAGTATGTGCTCTTAAATCAAGTCTTTTCCAACTTCATGCTCTTTTAAACCAAGGTTTCTCAACCTTGTCATTATGGGCATTTTTGACTGGGTAATTGCGGGTTGTGGGGCTGTTCTGGGCATACTCTAGGATGTTTAGCAGCAACGCTGATTTTTACCCATTAGATGCCAGGAGTACTTTCTCACTTGCACCCTCTTCCCCCAAATGCCTCTAGATATTGCCACCTGTGCTCTGGGAAGCAAAAGAGCACCTGCTTGAGCACCACTGATTGAAACGAAGGAAGTCCTTTCACTTGGGGATGTGAATGGTGAGGTTGTGATCATGGGAGGGTGGGGAGGGTAGGAAGGGAGAAAGACGGAATACATTTAAAGATTTCAATATTTTCCTTTGATTAAAAATCATAAATATATTTCAGGGGAATGAAAGCCATACACTTTCGTATGTAATATTGGCTGTCTGCCTTTATAAAGCTCGTAATTTGTAGGTCAGGTCTTTGAACATTTACAGAGATTCGGTTCTCCGCCCAGTACTTATGTATGGAGCTGAAGTGATCAAATCCTCTGTCTGGGTCTCCGAGGGTTTGGGTTACCCCAGTGGCCTTCAACGGGAGCTAGCCAGAAAGATGTCAAGCAAGAGTGGCTGGGGTAACATGGGTGACGGTATGTCTTCATGCTTTTGTTTCACTCATGTTGGCCTATATCTTTTATTTGGGGCCTTAATCCTTTTTACTATTTAGGAGAAAAGAAGGGCAAGTGAGGAAGATGCCAGGCCTGGGTGGCTGATTTCAGAGGCCCAGAGAGAGGAGAGGTGGGTGAGGGTTGGAGGTGACATGAGGTCTACACACTAATCTCTTGCAGACGCCTTCATTGATGCACTCCATAACAATTTGGAAAGCTGAACACACGCTGAAGATCTGGGGAACTGACTAGTAATTTAAGTGACAATGTGTCCATTATCTTGCAAGCAATTCTTGGGCAAATCTTTTAGGAAAAATCAGTAGTCACTGAATAATTTGTCTTTTTGTTGAGTATTTTCATAATGCACGTTATGCTTCACTGAAGCAAATTATGCCGGCAACTGAAAATGACAATAGAATTCATTTTACAACCCAGGAAGTGCAGCTTTGTTTATTAAAATATATTCATTCCATTTGGAGAGTAAAGCAGTTTTTATTTTCACGAGTGTAATGTTGACAGGTAATTAAATTTGTCATAAATTGCACCTTTAACGTATGCATCCAAGTCCATTAGTTTATAATCTAAGCAGCTAGTGATGTCCACAGTAGTTAATGTTAACAAGTTTTTTAAACTCCAGAGCTTCAAATGCTTATTCATGAATTCCCTAAGTGTGTGTTTTTAAAAATTTTTCAAGAGCATGCACCTTAAAAATGTAAGATGTTAGAAGAATGACTAAAAGTCAGACTAAAAACATCACCACATTGGATTTTATGTAATAATGGATTGAGATGTAACATTTTGGTCACCATTTGATACATGTCTACAAATTCTGGGATTAAAGCACTATCAACCAGTTACATCATTGTTTCATTAAAGAAGAATTCCTAAAAGAAATCCTTTAAGAGGACAACTAAATCTGATGGGAGATAAAATTGATGAGACACAGTCTCATTGGTGTAAGCTTTTGCCTCTCATTTCTATGGTAACCTGTGATCTGTTTTCTAATCATACCTTTGAAAGGCTTGTTTTCTCCATCATGAACATTTGGCCAGAAGCACTGAAGGTAACAAACATTTTTTTCTGTATTGTCTCTCTCTCTCTTTTTTTTTTTTTTCTCAAGCAAACACAATAGGAACTTACATTTACTAATTTTCAGATGACGGATATGTCTGAAAGATCACAGAGCTAAAAACTGAATATTAATGAAATAACTACTCAGATGTCTTAACAAATACCTTCAGTAAATGCCTTGAGCTTTAATAAAATTGCAAATGATCATTTGATTTGATAAAGTAAAAACTTGGAGGCTTGCTCAAGATGACCTAAAATTTAGAGTCCAGCAGTTTTCAACCTGCAGTGATTTCTGGGGACATTTGGCAATGTCTGGAGACATTTTTGGTTGTCCCAACTGGTGTCATGTTAGTGGTGGTGGTGATGGTAGAGTGTGTGTCTATGTGTGTGTGCGTGTGTGTGTGCACACGCACGTATACTCACTACTGGTAACCAGTGGGTAAAGGCCAACAGGGAGACTAAGCATTCAACAGAGCCCAGGACAGTCCCCGCTCCTCCCCTCTCCCATCCAAAATAAAAAAATTACCTGCCCCAAACAGGAGGTTGAGAAAACCGGCATATAGCCTCATAGATGCTGTTCTGGAATGAGGAACATACATTGAACATATGAAATTATTGACCATAAATGTTCAAATATATAAAATGCTTTGGAGGCAACCCTACTTGTAATTTTCTTCCCTGTTCTTGTGTTATATTTACTTCTTTGCTATTTCATTTAAATGGCAAAAAAAAAAAAGAAAAGAAAAGAAAGGAAAAAAAACTACATAGAAACAAAAATCACCATTTTTTTTTTCTTATCCCCTTTTGGTTAAAATGTGAACATTTCCAGCTTGCACGTGTTTAATTTGTTGTGGCCACGTATGAACTGTAAATATCCGTTCAGTCCGATAGTCTAGTGTTTCCTCTGCATAGCTTCTAGCAAAATATAGTATTGGGTTGACATTGGTACCCTGCTTCATTTAAATGTAGTTAAGTTCTGATAAGTTTTTTCCTGTTAATTGAAAATGGACTTACCTTTCCTCAGTTGAATGCGGACGCACTTGCCTTTGGCGTCCTCCCTTTTAACTACGGTGGCATTTGGTCATTTTGGAGGACAACCCTACCCGCAAATCCACGCACAGGTCAGGAGCGCAGATCCACCTTGAAGGAGAACTTGCAACTCAATCAAAAGCAATCCCCGCACAGCCAGAGGGCGCCAAAATGCTGCAAATAAAAGTTCCAAAGGTTCGGATGGTCGCGGGAAGGTAAAACTGGCTTTTGTCTAAGGAAAGTGCTGCCGTTGTAAGCGTTGTCATGTACGTTATTTTTTGCATTTGCTTCTTGCCAACAGATAAGCAAGGTGGGCATACGACCCCACCCTGGCGGTTATTTTATGTCCTGGTGTTAAAGTGGCAGTGCCTCAAGCCACCCGACACGTCGTAGTTGGCCAAGGCTTGGACCTGTGCGCTTCTAGGCAGCCCTGTAAGGGTTGCCTCGGCTAACCCAGTCTTCCCGGGAACTGGTTGCCTCTTTTAAAGCACAGACATAAAACACCGACGGTTCCTTTCCTCGGGCTCTTGTCCTTTCTCCTTCCTCTCCCAAGTCCCGAGAGCATTCTTGCAGGGGGACGCCGCCCACCCCACTAAGGTGGACCTCGGCGGTCTCGCCAGTCCCAAGCCGCAGAACTCCAGGCTCAGCCCAGCGTGCGAAGGAGCCGCCTGCCCAGCTCGTCTGGTCCGCGGGGGCGCCGCCCGGACTTGCCTGCAGTTAGCAGCCACCCTCCACCCCGAGGACATCTGTCCTGATGGGCTGAGGGGAGCCCCCAGGTCACCCTCAACCTCACCGCGCGTCCAGGTATCGGAATCTCAGGCGGACGTCGCGCGCGAGCGGGACTGGGGTGCTGAGAAGGGTAGCAGGTGGCAGGGGGCGTCATTCATCACCTCGAGGCAGCCCCTTAAGACTGAGCGAGACCGAGCGCTTCCTATCCAACCATTCCAAGGGTGGGGGGAGAAAGAGAGAGAGAGAGACTAGAGAGAAGGGCCCACAGACAGCCCCGGCGCGGCGGGGGAGGGGACGAGGCGCAGGGCGGGGGGGGCGCGGGCGAGGAGAGGAGGGGGGAGGGGAGGGGGGAGTGGGAAGCCCTCCGGGTGGGCAGAGGAGGACAGGGGGACGGAGGGGAGGGGAAGGGGAGAGGGGGACCACCGGGACGCAGGGAGGGGGGCGGGATGGAGGGGAGTTGAAGGGAGGCGGGCGGGGCCCGGGCTGGAGGGAGGCGGGCGGGGTACGCGGGAGGAGGGAGGCTGGGCGGGCGGACGCGCCGGGGGAGGGCGCTGGGCAGGAAGGGGAGGGGGAGCGCGAGCGCGAGAAATGCAGAGGCTGCAGCGGCGGCGGCGGCGGCAGTAGCGGCAGCGGCGGCGGCGGCGGCGGCAGCGCTCCAACTCGCTCCTCGCTCCGGGCTCCGCCGTCGAGCCGGGGAGAGAGCCTCCGCCTGCGGCCAGGCAGCGGCCGGACGACGCCTGCGACCCGGGCCCCTCGGCGGCACCGCGCTCACCCAGGGGCGGCACAGGCACCCAGAGCCGGTAAGGAGGCGCGCCCCGGCGGCCCCACCGCCCCCGCGGACCCGGGGCGCCGGCAGCCCGGGGGCCTCTGTGCGCCCCCGCCCCACCTCGAGGCCCTTTGTTCTCTCCGCGCCGCGGCCGGGGGCGGGGGGCGCTGCGGGCCTGGTTAGACGGCGCCCAGCGTGGGGACCCTCCGCGAGGTTCCCGTCGCACTTCGGGGTGATGGGGGCCCCCAAGGTGGGTGGCTTCAGCCTCTCGGAGGGTGGGAAGGAGGTGGGGGTGGCGAGTCTGCCAAACGGAGTTGGGGGTGGGTGGCGGGAGGGAAGCTGCCCGTTAAGGAGGAGATTGTCGAATGCGAAACCCTTTAAACGCACTGAGTCCCGGGGAGACGGTTCTGTGGGGCTGAACGGAGCGTATCTGTCATCGGAACCATTCACAGCCCGGAGGAAAGCGCTTGGTGCGCGGGGCGCAGCGGCAGAAGATGGAGGGTGGGGGTGGGGTGGGGCGGGAGTAAGGGGGAGAAAGAATACGGGGATCTGGTGTGATCGGAAGGAGGGAGGTGCCTTTTTGGTTTCACAAATGGGGTTCTTTGACCCCGGGGATTCCTGAATCTTGGCCTGCGGTGGCCAAGGAATGCGAGGTTCACACAACAACTGCCTCCTGAAGCACATCTGAGCGGATCAAAGCCACAGCCTTGGACGTGGCTGAATTGCCTTCCCGCTAACCTGTGGGCGATCTCTGAGCTATTTTTTCGAGGCTTGGGTTCAGAGATGCACTGGGCGCCTCCACCCTCGCGGCCCCGGCCGGGAGGGTGTGATCTTGAACCTGACAGCGCGCCGTCCCCAACGGCCCAGCCCCGCTGTGAGCGAAGGTTTGGGGTTTAGCAGGTTTTGCCGAAAGCGCTAACGCTGAAACCCGACGCCTGGTTCCTGTCTCCCTCCCCACGCCCTCAACCCCCCCCCCCCGAAAAATAAAAATTGCGGAATCCCTGGATCCGTTCGCACACAACACACAACGCGCGGCTAACAAACCGCATTCTTTTCATGAATATTCATCGAACGCTCGGCCGGGCTCCTTATCTGCTTGCCCAGAGACATTTCCGCCTTGAAACGAACTCCGTGGACAACCTTTGCTGTGTAATTTTCACCCTTCTGAAATCAGCAGCGCGCTCACGGGTGCGTATTTTAGTACCTTGAACAGGGTTGACACACCTCGGTGTCCCGCGAGGCCACTAGCACATGTAATGGCGGGGGGTTAAAACCGAACAGTCGCATCGAGGTGGTCGTTTTGCTGCAGGGGTGTGGATCAGCCTCCCCGGGATTACAGCCAGGGCTAACAGAGCCTCAGTACTGCGGGCAAAATGAATGAATCGGGACTGTAATTACCTATTCCTTTGTCTTGGCCTCGCGCATGCGCGGGAGAGCAGGGTGTGGAGGGCCCCGGCAGCCCCATCTGATCTCTCTCCATCACCCACCCATCCACTCCCTTCCGAAGCCGAGGAACAAAGGCGTTTGCCCTAAATGTTGCGTGAAATCCTTGGACACAAATGACAGTTTTCCCCCCCTCTGTGTGTGTGTTTCTTCTTTTTCAGGTTACCTCTCGTCTTTGCTTTCTTAGTGATTTCAGTTGACGAAAAATAAGATTATCCTTGGTGATGAGAGCAAACTGTGGATTAAATATTTTCGTGGCCGAACACTGCTCTTTTCCTTTCTAGTACTGTCCATTGTTCTTTTTTTCTGTAACATATTGCACCACAGTGATGGTGGCCCTCGATTTGCATCAGTTAACCATTTGACAGATTTTTGCTGCTGGTCCTTTAATGAAGGGACATTGGTTTCAAAAACTGATAGTGGCTATCTGCCCCTAGTGTCACTACTTGGGAGAAATTAAGACATTTTGGCGTTTATAGGAACAAGATGGCCTACAAAACCCAGAGCAGAGAAAATGGTTACCTTGTCAGAATCCTAAGCCTGTCTGTTTTCTCTTGATTCCTGCCTCATTGTTTCACTAGGGATCCCAAAAGGCCAGCCCCATGGAGATGGAAATCACTGATGGGGAGAAAGGAGGAAGAAGGCAACCAGGGCTGTTGGGGTGAAGATGGTTGATTGAATTCATAATGCTTCCTTTTTTTTTTTTTTTTGGCACTATCTAACAGAAGCCATGATACATATACCTTTGGTCGATTTTCTTAAAAATGGTGTATTATCTAGGTTATGGCCATTTAGATTTCTTTTTGGCTTTGGGGGCTACTTTATTCTACCATCCAAAAGGTGACTTATGGATATAAAATAGCTAAATACCGTATTTTTGCAATGGCCCGTTAAGAATTTTATGTTTAGTATTCTCAGTACACCCTGGTGGGATGACATGTAGCAGGCAAATGGAAGTCATCTCTTTTGTTCCTTTTAATAAAAGGATATTGATATTGATCACATTTAATATATCAGGGCCTATACTTGATAGGATAGCTGGCTGGTACCCTCTCTATTCCTTACTGTTGAGCGGCTTATTATGGTTTAGAGGGCTATCAGCAGTTTTTTTTTTTTTTTTTTTCATTTTTTTCCCTTTAGGTTATGTTTTTGAGGGAGAAGTGAGTTGGAGTGTAGTTGGACTTTGATAGCAAATATATACCAATATGCCCCAATTCAGTGAGTCTTAGGGTTTTAAGCGAGGTAATTTTTAAACTGAATTTGAAAAAATCATCCGTTACCTTATTCTTTTATCCAGCTAGTTTTTTGACAGTCCTTAGCAGGTGGAGAAAGGGAGTTAATGGGCCTTTTGACAAAATGCGCCAACAATAAGCATACCAACAGTGGCATTCTTGTCTTTAACTGGTGCTCATGCTTTCATTATGGCATGCAGAAGAGCATATTCTCTCCTGCTGGACCACCCTAATCTGAATGTGTCCAATAGAGGAAGCTCTAAGGGCTTTGGCTGTCTGTCCTTGGAGGCATCTTTATAATCTTACTGGATTTACTAGAAAACATCATATCATAGTCTAAGATGTGATGTGTTCTGCCTCTTTAGTTTTTGTGTTTTTTTTTTTTTTTAAACAAATTCACATTAAGAACAGTTTAAAAACCATTTTTCATTCCATGGTCAAGATAAGCAAAGTATGGAAAACTTAGGTTTGGGGGAGATTTGGTCACTGTAAAATGGATGTCTGTGTGTTATACACAGTAGTTTTGTAAAAACCTGCAAAATCCAAACATGTTTTAAGGTGCCATGTAAATACACATGGGTATATACATTAAACACACGCTCATATATACACATTATGTATACATATGCAATAAAATGAAATCTTATTAATGATATAAAGCTAAACTAGTTGGTGTAGAACTTTCTATGGTTATTGGTTATTTTATAGTGCTTAATACTGGTCTTTGGAAAATAATCAATTTTTGGTCTTTCTAAATAAGCATTTGAATGGGCGAGCCTACCAAGTGTCCTAAGAAACTCATTTCCAATTTCTAGCAGTGTAAAACAAATGGGTTGCCTTGAACATCTTAAATTAAGATGCTCATTTACAGGCTTAAAAACTCACGCGAAGCACCACTGAAATAAAAAGCCGTAATCAACAATGCTTACAAAATAAAGGACTTAATAAAATTGTTCTGTCTTATTTTTCTGATCTCTTCTAAAATTTTATTTTGAAAAATATCCAGAAAAGGCCTGTCAACTATCGTGTGTCAGAAGCAATTGCTTTTGGTGTCTGATTTTGTGGAAAGAGATGCTCTGATTTGCTTAGGCCTTTAGCGTACATGGAGTTATACCTACTCATTTTACATCTTCTGTATCAAAGGTTGACGTCTTAATGACCATTTTAGCTGGTGAACTGGAAGCCACCTAACGGCTGAGGAAAAACGGAGGATGTAGACAAGTTGTTCTTGGGGGAAATGGGTGCAGCATCTAGCATTTCATCAAGTTTTCTCAACCCACCCAATTCTTTACATTTATTCCAGTTTCTTAAGACTTCGGATAACCCAATACAACATGAACTTTACTCTTTGGCTTAATTATGGTAGATTGATAATCAAGAAATAGCTTTGAGATTGTGAATAGCCCAGAATTTTTTTTTTTTCAGTGTGTTTTGAGGAGGTGCATTTGGGGAGACTCCCTAAGCTCAGTGGAAAGTAATTGGGTTTGAAAAACCTCTATAGACACTGGCTAAACCACTGTGGGAAAATGACTTCAAGCCTCTCTGGATTTCACTTTCTTCAGTTGTAAAGTTGGGGTAATAATTCTTATTTTCTCGCGATAATAAGGACCACACATACGGCTAAAATGTGCATA